TCCGCACCATTCGGCATCAGTGTTTTACACTTGTCTCAAACCCTCGCCCACCACCTAACCCCGGAGCAACTTCATTCATAGGACCACCGAGTTAATTGTTTGTTTATGATGGGTGTCATCTAGTCATCTCTTCATTGGTGCATATGCTGTTTTCATTGATACTGCCCTTCATCTCACAACAGCGCTGTCAATTCTAGATAATTTTGCTACTCCGCGGGATAAGTTAACGAGAGAAAATCAAATTCCCTCTGAAAATTGGCAAACGTGATTTTGCTCACATCCCAGATGCTTTGATAAATTTGTCCGATCCAGTCCTTGAAGCGTGTGAAAAAAGAGTTCTAAAGCATGGCCGCACCTTATGTTAGGCAACGGAAGCCAGTTAGAGGGACAAATCAAAAAGTCAAGTTTCAGAAGTGAGTGAATTAAAATTGTATCCCCGCTTCAATAGAAATGTGGACCTCTTTTCATTCAGTTAGGAGGGACAAATCAGAAAGTCAAGCTTTAGAAGTGAGTGAATTTAAATTCCATCCCCGCAGCAATTGAACTGTGGACCTCTTCACAACACTGCCGTGCCGAGGAAGAACGCCGTATGAACATTCGAGATAGTTTCTAGATTTCCTTTGTTGTAACATGTATTTTTGAAGCAATTTAAGCATATTTTTCCTTGAAATTTTCAGATATTTTAGATTAAATTGCCCAAAAAATTGTCTGAAAATTTTGGGGAAAAATATTTACAATTTTCCCAGTAAATTATGTTTTTAGCGAAGGAAATTTGGCAACGCCTGAAGGCTCATACGGCGTTCTTCCTTAGCACAGCAGAACAGGGATTGACTCGAGTACCTTGATAGAGAGAGTATCGCCAGGTGGCTATGAGTTTTGATTGGCCCCTCCATCTTGAGCCTCGTGGAGCTCTTAGGACCCAATAATGGCGGAAGCTGTGGGTAAATGTAAATACAAAATGACTCAAAATATAGGTGACAATGACGGTGATAACCGTCAAAAGTTGGCAATGACCCCCTTCCCATCCTCAAAAGCCGAAACAAAACGTCGCAATTTTTGGGTCTCAAGCCCCCCATGGAAAGTGGAGGGACGTCATGTCATTACTCTCTCTGGTACTCTAGGATTGACGATCTCATTCAATTCAAGAAATGACATTTATAATTTACTTGTGCTTAAGTTATCAACTGTGAGTCGTAGACATGGTCGGATTTACCTACTTGCCGCACATGGGCCGCCTGTATTTTGCCGCCCTCTTCTCATTCATTTTGAAACATCAATACATATAAAAACCATCAAGTGAACGTGCCGGAGGGAGAAGGGTGCATAAGACGCGTTCACTCGTGTTGGACACATTTTTTGCGTAAGCCCTGTCAACACTACTACCAAAAGTTCACGGAGCTTCGCGCGAAAGTTCAGTTCCGTAAACCTATCTCTGTGTGGACAAGGCCTTTCATTTGTAAGAAATGAACTAAAAAATTAAGAGAGAATAAACATAAATGTGGTTTAATAATTTTAACTTCCGCTGCCGTGCCGCGCTGACCACACTGTGTTTGGCGCAATGCGTGAAGTATTCATGTAGTCTTGTAGGCACTGTGCGTTTTACGCCGGGCCGACCGCTGTTGACCGTACTGTGTTTGACGCAATGCGTGAAGTATTCATGCAGTCTCGTAGGCGCTAATATGTGTTACATGCCGACCGCCGCGCCGAGGGCCTCTCCTTTTCATCATACAAGTCCTCGTCATCATTTCTCTCTGCGCCGCGCCGCTCCAGGCCAAATTGCGTGTTTGGTTTCTCTCTTAAAACTCAACTAATTAAAGGTGCGCAGTCTTTTGTATCACCGAAATACGACAAAATTAGAAATTAGTGAATTCTCAGGAAATGAGAGATTTTATCGCCTTTTCTTGTTTGTAATTTTATTCTGAATCCGATTTTTTTGTACCTGCATTTTAAAAAGTGCAAAATTTGCCGCCCCCTAATTTTGCCGGCCCCATAGGCCGCGGCCAATGTGGTCACCCCCTTAATCCGGCCCTGGAAAATAAAATAAAAAAAAAAATAACGCAGGTTTTCTTCTTTTTTTTTCGTGGGACATGAGTAATATTTTCCACCAGAGACGGTATCCCCAGACGAAAAAGTCTGTGTACCATGATAGTTTTTTACAGAAATTTAGCGTGAAGCAACCCGACGGAAAAAAACGCCTTCAACGAATTGGATAGGCACACCGAGCTCCCAGGTGGTCGAATAGTGGTATCACGTCCCACCGTTGCGTTCCACAGCTCATCTGTGGGCAGCACGTATCATTTTTTGCTGGATTTGCCTCAAACTTGGTACGTAGAAGTTTTTTTTTTTTTTTTTTTTTTTTTTTTTTTTTTACGCTGAATAGGAATTCGGCTTAAGTTTCTACAACATTCCAAGATGACTGTTTTTCTCTCAAAAATGCCGTATGGTTTGTATGCTCGTTGCGAGTGGCATTGCGGAACGGTGAAATAGTATCTGTAGCCTTCGGCAGTGTAACATACCGACGGCAAAACTGCCATGCTAAGGAAGAACGCCGTATGAACATTCGAGAGTTGCCAAATTTCCTTCGGTAAAATGTTTATTTTTAAGAAAAGTTATGAATGTTTCTCCATGAAATTTTTTGGAACTTTAGGTAAATTTGCGAAAAAAATTATCTAAAAAATTGGAAGAAATCTATTTACAAATTCTCCCGAAAACTCGTGATTTACCGACGGAAATTTGGTAACGCCTGAAGGTTCATACTGCGTTTTTCCTTAGCACGGCAGAAAACAGCAAAGATGCGTAACTCGGTTGTAGTGTTTCGAAATCTCCGCTCCCCAAGTAGCATTGTCATCTACTTTCTAGGTGGCGCTCATCAAGAAAATGTCTACTTCCTAGATAGAACAATTTTCTTGAAAGAAAATAGGTATAAAGTAGATCTAGAGAATAGACACAAGAAAATAGAAAGAAAATACATTTTTTCCTTGCATTTTCTTAAAAGAAAACATTAAGAAATTGGCTAAAAAATAATTCTACTTTCAATAAATTTTCTATCTTATTTTTCCCAAATGGGAAGTTGACAGAAAGTAGACCTATGAAGTAGATCTATTTTCTTTGGTCAGACTATTGACTTGCAATGTTCTCCCTTTCTATTTTCTGGATAACTCTCATTTTCTCTGTTTTTCCTAGAAATTTTCTTGATATTTTTTTTTTCTAGAAAAAAATTCTATTTAGCTACTTGGGTCCCCTTTTACTTTCTAAGAGGAGCCGAAGCCAACGTCATGGCTTGAAGTTTAAACAGAATATTCTTCTGCAGAAAGGGAAGAAAAATTACTGAAATTTTCAACACATGACACCCGTAGTTTTCCATGTAGATATGGAAGTCTGACAGAAACTCTGCAACGCCGCAAACCGAGATACGCATTTGTTTAGTTTCACCACCGATATGTAAAACTAGTGAACTGTAGTGGCGTGGCGTGCTTTGCGATATATCGATTGTTATGCCATTTAAACCTATGGAAAAGGATCGATAAACAGGGTGTTCGCAGCGAACACCTTAATAATCGATTCTTTACCATAGGTTTAAATGGCAAACCAATCGATACATCGTAATTCACGCTACGCCACTGGAGGACTGTGCTCCCTGACCTTTGAGCAGAGGCGGATCACCGGCGGAGAGCAACACCGGATTCCTTCCAATTAAACCAGTGTTAAATAATCGATCCTTGTCGGAGCACCTGGCCCCTCCAAGAATCGATACATTTCAATAGGTTTAAATGGAGGGAATCCGGTGTTGCTAAATTGCTGGATCCGCCAATGCCTTTGAGAGGAAATTTGGCAAAAAAAAAAATATTATTAAGCCCAATTCACACATTCAAACATTTCATTCAACTCTTGAATGCAACTTGCCGTAATGAAAAGTTGGATAGTGTGGCATTGACGCGAGAAAACGACAATCTAGTGAAAAATTGAACGAAAACTTTACTGTGACGTCACGTTCAACTTTTCGTTCAACTTTCCATTTAATTTGCGCGGCCAATAGAGAATTTACAGGTGTCTGAAATTTGATGAATTTCGTGTTTAAGTGGAAACTACAGAGTGAACTGAACACGAGGATACCCTTGGCTCAAGCATTGAACAGTTTATTGGAGAATATATGATAATATGATCTAATCTGCTAAAATACATGTGTTAAATGGGAAATTCCGCCAGATGACATCACTAGGCGGTGCATTTTCTCACTTTTAAATCTATTTTTATACTATTTCCCACAGCAGAAAAAAGTATAACTGTGAAATCAGCTCTTTGAGCACTTTCAGATGAAGCAATAAAACATTTGCATGCAATTTCTCCATTGGATGGAGAATTGCCTTTTACAAACCACACGTTTTCAGTACAATTTGTAAACGCGCGTATTTCTTTCGATTTCCAGAGAAATTGGTTTATAATTTGAAATTAAGCGTATAAAAATTCCGAGGAAAAATATCGATAGCTCTCCTCTACAGTAAATATATTTAAGAGTAAATCTGGCAACATTCGAATGCTCACACGGCGTTTTTCCTCAGCACGGCCGTACAGACATCTTATCCAAAAAGGTCATTGAAGAGGAAACAGTTTTCAATGAGAATCTGCATTGAGCGACGTTACGACGACGAAAAAAAAAACGCCTTCAACGAATTGGATAGGCACACCGAGCTCCCAGGAGGTCGAATAGTGGTATCAAACCCAACAATACATTAATTCAGGGCAGTGCTTACGTTTCACGTATCATTTTTTGCTGGATTTGTTTCAGACTTGGTGCACGGAAGGTTTTTTTTTTCTCTTTTTTTTTTCGCTAAACTGGAAATTGTTTTTCATGACTTTCCAAGATGTTCAGACTGTAGGGCCTCTCATCACAAAAAAGACCGCAGATTTGAATTTTGCCGCCTTACAGCACCCGGCATTCCGGCGGGAGCCGGAAAAAGCCGAAGCGGCTGGAGGAACGTTGCGTTTTTTGAGCGGGAATCCATTACTGTTTGGGAAAACTAGGTTAGAATCTGTTCATCAAAGAAAGATTTTGTTCCTATTTTCTGATTTCATGCCCGGTTCCGTTACATATTCTCAAAATTTGTGTATTTAACGATTATTTTTTGCAGTTAGTCTTATCTTTTTAACCCCTTCACCCATATGTGTATGTGAATTATCCCTGTGTCTGGTTCTTGAGGCCTACTTTGACCTAGTGTTTCCTTCTATGTTTTGTTTCCACTTATAATTTTAGTCTCGAGACCTTGATGTTATTTTCACTCTCTTTTCACGCTTTATCACGTCATTTTTTGATTGGAATGTTCTCTGTCAGCACCATTACTACAACATTTTCCTGACAAACTCTTCTTCAATGTGATGCACCGTTCGGTCACTGGATGGGCAAATTAGTGCTTCGGAGAGCCTTTTATCGAGTTCTTAGTTTCCCCTAAATTGCAGATGCAATGTCAAAAACAATGACCAAAACACCTGTTGTCACTCGTCCAAGCAAGAGATCTTATGTCATCCACGATCTGTTTGAGGAGGATGGAGAAGAGCCGCTTGTAAGTATATCACTTGAGCGCAGAAGCGTTAACCTACTTTTTTGACGCAAGTCTTTAATCTATAATTCAATGTGCATGTATTTGGTCCAGACACACTGAAGTGTTTGCTACACTAAGATGAAGGTGTTATCTTCAAAGGGTACATTTGATACTCCTTCAGAATGCCGCAATTATTGTGCTTGAGAGCCTGTCAATTCTAGATTTAGTTTTTTACTGATGGACTTCTGTGGTGCTGACAACAGACCCAATAAATTATCTTCATTGTATACCTGAGCAGTATGTGTACGTGTGCAAGAGAGCATGTCTTTCTTATGAAAATCATGCCTTTACATAAAAATTTTCTACCTTGTTCTATCATAATCCTAAAAAATTTTATCATAGGGAGGAGCGTTGTCTTCTTAAACCAGTCCGGCTTCTATTCTGTAATCACATCAATATTTGCGATAGAATTGACAATTATGATTTTGTTATCTTGCAATTTAGAAAGAGAATGAAATGAAAGTCTAATTAAAGTATTAGAATGTGCTAGAATCTGTTCTATTCAAGTTGACAATTTCAAAACTGCAACAATCACATGAGGAGTCAATTCATTTATGTAGCACAGCAGTGCTTAAGCTCCAGTTGCTATTGGACTACAGCAGTGTAACCGTCTGCATGTAGACAGTAATCAACTGCCAACTTACAAGGGGAACTTCCCAAGCTGTCGCCTCTGATCGGGCTGAAACAGTGCCCACGAAATCCTTGGATGAATCCATTAGACCCGTGTTCTCATGTTTTTTTTCCCGAGGGAAGTGGCGCTTCTTTGCCTCACCCAGCCGTCCCGGCTCAAACTAGGTATCCGGTGCTCAAAACCAAACTTTTCGAAACTCTTTTAGGGTGTTTCCAGGGCGCATTTGAATAAAACAAAAAACACAGGTCCAATAGATTCATCCAAAGAGTTTGTAGGAATGTTTTCAGCTCGGTCAAGGCGGCAGCTTGGGAAGTTCCCCTCATTAGTTGACAACTTTTCTAATAGTTTTAAAGGATCACTCCCCTAAAGCTATTATATTAACGGTTTTCTTGGCCTAACTGTTAGTTTGCATCATACCTACTTTCATTCTACCATAGAGAAAATTATCCCTCGAGAGAAATGCCATTTTAGATGCATATCACCGCCTTATTTAATGTAATTTTTATGTGCTTTTTGAAGAAGATTCACTGAAAAGTTAAGTGTACAGCATCAGTCATTTTTCTCTTGCAAAACAAAATACTCAAAAATCTTTTTGAATGTCATGATAGAGATACACAGAATAGTGTCACATTTAGGCAGTAAAAATTCATAATTTAATTATTTATACCAATTTCAGCTGAGAGCTTGCAGAATTAGTCATAAAAAGGATAGAAATGAGGCCAAAGACCATTGGCCAAACAAGCAACATAATAATAAAAATCCCCTCAGCCTCCCCCATTTTAAGAGCAAGTTCACAATTTGTTAGCATCGACAGAACAATTCACAGCCTCAACTTTTTGGTCGTTAACTTCCTGGTCATATCATCTTTTGTAATTGCGTTTTAGAATTTTGTTCACCTAATTATTTGAGTTCATTCCCGAAAATATTTATTACCTCTTAAAACATGAACATTTTTTTGCAGGCCAATGATGACGAAAAAGAGAAATTGGAGTACAGGCGTCGTCTGGCAGCGGAAGAAGAAGCCGAAAGGAAAAAGTCGATCGCTGGTTTCGAAGATGGGAGACGGTCTTTCGGAGGGCACCTACCTGCCCTCACAGCTCAGCAACTCTCAGAACACTACAACAATTGTTTACAATTGTTCAACGAAAATGTAAGATTTTGAAGCACCGCAATAACTTTTTTCAATCTAAATTATCTGGAACAAAATTATTGGCATTTAGATAAGTTTTTAGACAAGCAGAAATGAGTCAACTAAACAGGATGTAATGTGTTTGAAAGTGTTAGAAGATTTAGTTTATAAGTTGGAATTTTAAGTGCTTTACAGGTAACTATGTCATTGTTATCACACAAGAAGAAAATAAAAAAAAAAAAAAAAAAAAAAAAAAAAAAAAAAAACTACAGTCTGCAACCAAAGAAGTTGCAGCTGAGGTGCAGAAACAAGTGAGCATTTGAATCTATTGTTCAAGGGTTGGTTGGCTGAAGCAAACCCAGGTCCTTTGATCCTGGTAATATACCTACGTTTTAAGCCTTAAGCAATAGATCGAGACGCTTACTTAATCCGCCCCCCAGCCGCCACTTCTCTTGTTGCTGACTGTAGGGGAGTTAACAAGGGACTGTAGGTACTTCTTGAAGAGATGGAGGAGGACCTGATATGAGGAGAGGGATCAACAAAATCAAACAAAGTACCTGAAATCATTTGTAAACAGCCTCTTAGAGTTAAAAATATTCTATTTTAGTAGGTGGTGAGGAGAATAAAAATGTTGGAGTTAGCAAATCTGAGGTAGGCAAGAAATAAATACGATGAAAAAAAGAAAAAAATACAGAGAAGGAAACAAAGCTGTCACCTGAGAAATGACAGGACTACATGCAGTCTGTGACCTGCATGTAAAAAGGAATTGTATATTTTAGATAGAGGATTGGGGTTTTTAGAGGAATGAGGGAGTGCCGTTTCCCTGAAATGCTTTGGTAGGATTGGGGGATTTTGGCGGCTAGACGTTGCAAAGCGCCAGAAAGTGCTGTGAAAGCGGCTTTTATGTATTTACATTTTAGATCAGTGATTACTTATATGTTTTGTCTACTAGATACTATTCAAAAAGATAAAACTTACAAAATATCCCCTCTCTTATTGCAAGGTTAGTACCTATTCACCCAAGGTCTATTCAGTGCACTGTGGACGCAAGAAAATAAAGAAGTCACCGTAACATTAAAAGTCCTTGATTTTCTTGTGTTCTCGGACACTAAATCGTTCCTTTCTTGGATATGTATCGTCTTCAAGGAATTTCAACAAAAACCTTACATTTGAGGAGTACACCCTTTACCACCAATGAAAGATGAACACACCCTAATAGGAGGCATTGAGAAAGCCACTTTAGTCTCAGGCCCTGACTAACTTTACTGATCTTTTAGGATCTTGTGTAGTGTTGTCATCCTTATGGTTATTATACCTGATACCCGCAAGATATTACTTTCAGTAAAACCAACATCTTCACTAGCAACTTGATACATCGAAAACAACCTAAGTATGTGTCATGTAAGTGCAAGAGTGAGGTGATATCCATGGCAGTGTACTTTGATAGTTTGCCTGTTTCATTAATGTGCTCCTTTTTGAACAGCTCGGTTGTATGCAGGCAATCTGCCCGGCTGCCTAGTTGTTGGAAATGTTACGAAAAAAAGCTATCGAGAATTGATTCCTCAAGGCACAGTTAGAGCAATGTCTTGTCTTATCTCATCGATAAAGCCAGAGTTAATTTCATTAATCAGGCCGCAGGAAAAGGTGGTTAGGTCTTGATCTGGGCAGGGAATCGATCTACTCACAACGGTTGCATTGTGTCAGTATGTTGTATTATACAGCTGTTAGTTTTTCACCATCCTCAGGAGCCATCAAATGCATTTATGTGCTGCAACTTATAAACAAAAGAAACCACCCATGTTGAATGTTCTAGTAAAATAGATGCAGGTTTCAGGTTCCTTCTAATTTCTCATTTCCATTCTGTTTCCTTTTTGTAGAAAATCAACCAAAAGAATGCCTTCAACCTGCAGCTTATCGACTACATGGCAATGATGTTGAAAAAGCGGGACAAGCAGATGGATAACTTCTCTGTAGTCAGTTGCACGCTAGATGCCAGCACAAAAATCTATGCGTACCGTGTCGACCATGTTCACTCAGATGCCTTGAAAATGGCTGGAGGACTAGCAGCTGCAGAAGCGTCAAATAAGAACAAATCAAAAGACAGTGATGATAGTGACGGAGCAGATGGTGATGGAGAAAGTCCCAAAGAGAAGGGGAAGGAAAAACTCAAACGTAGAAAAAAGTTCAAGGTATGATTGTCCTAACTTTTATTTATTCAATTTAGTCTTGGTTTAATTGAAGAGTATCGAACTGTAAGAACTCCTTTATATTTATTGTTTTCCTTTTTCTTTCTACGATTTATTTATCAGCACCTAGGTAACTGATATTCCCATAATTTGAAATCACGACCAAATAATTTTGTCACTGTAAGGAGGAGGCTCAAACAGTTTGGACAGATAAATGAACAAATTTTCAAGACCTTCAGTTGTAAAATTTCCTGTTACATTTCTAATGAATCTGTACTGAGCGTTGTAGTCTGTTGTATACCTGAAAAATTAGAAGAAGGAAAGAGTCAATTAATTTACATTTTTAATTAAGTGATTAACAGTTTGGGACTCATGGAGCTCTCTGATCCAATTTTTGTGAATCTCATTTCTATTCTTTTTCTATGTCCTTAATTCTCCAAGTACCTTAATTTTTTCTCATCCTGCTTGTAGCAAAGAAATACTATTGTGCCGAACCCAGAATCTCTGAATCGCAAGAACTTTGAACTTGGCTCATGGAACACCCGAATGTTGATAGAGGCAGGAGAGGCAAGCATTCTATCCAATGCTACGCTAATCGGAGAGTCATGTGCGATGCAATTAAATAATGATACTAAATACTGGGTAACTGATGATAATAGCAACCAAGTTTTTCCAGACAAAGATGTACCTGTGAAAATACCAGGTAAGGTCATAAAGTAAACAATAGAGAGTCTAGAAAACATAAAGAAATTGATTTTAGCGCTGATGAAATGTAAAACATATATGCTGACTAAACATTGACCAGTAATTCAGTATGTGTGGACTGTGCAAAAGGGTATTAAGTCTTTCTATCTGAAATTGAACGAATATTTTGATATTCTTCAATTTTGAAAGGAGGTAGAAAGTTCGTTCTCTGTCATTAATTACTTTCAAGTAGATTTGGAAAGTATCCAAGTTTTTCCCAGGGAGTTATCTTATTTTTAATGACAGCTGTGAAAACAATTTTACTAAAATTTGAGTGCTGTAAGAAATCCTAATATCATCTGCAAAATTGCAGATTGTCCTATGGATTGATCATATTTTTACACAAAATTGCAGATTATGGTTGCAAAACCTTAACACAAAATTGCAGTCTTTTGAATTTCTGCAGGTTCAGAAACTTTAGGGTATGAATGTGGTCACAATATTTCCTATCTTAATTGTGTTTGCAAAACTTTAGGATGGAAAAAGTTAACGCTTTCTCATCATCTGTGCCTTTCCTATTATGACAAAGATGCTGCATTTTCTGCGGCACTGATACTTTCTGTAAGGTTATGATCAGTATACCCACCTTTGTCCCCTTTCTTTATCAGCACATCTTGAGATCGCTGAAGGGAAGAAATGAAAGATCAACACATGCATTGCCAATGTGTTTTTGTGAAATTGCTCTAGTCAACCAGGATATACATGCAAAAAAAAATGAGACAGGAAGCTTCAAACCACAGTTTCCAGCAGTCACCGCAACATTAGTGCATTCTTTTGGTTGCATAAATAGTACTTTGAAATTGACTCTTCATAGGACCTGTAGAGTAGACAATGCCTCTGTCATTCAGAAATGCGATGAAAATTAGACATTTAAAATGTCAGTTATTACGACTGTTCCCGTCTGGAGCGATCAATCAAAAAAATTGTCACTATGACCATTTTAATCAAGTGTGTCAAAGGAAGCTTCCTCATCTTTTCCTGCGTGAACTTACCCTGATAATGGATGGATTCATCGTGTCAATCATGGTTATTCTCAAAATGTACTCGCAAAATTATCACTTAATTTTACTAATGTGGAGAAATTTTTCCTGTACTTGTAACCATTCATCTTTACTCAACAGAAATCCCTAACAATGCCAAAATATCGGAGACTTTGAATGGTTTTTCCATCGTCAATTGGGATGAAAATGAAGACATGGATGATGAAGAAATGGAAGAAAATGCAGACCCGCAGAAAACAGATGATACCTTTATTGATAAAAATCTCGTTTTTGATATCAATGAACCGACACAACCAGTACCTGATTTTGAACCAGATTATTTTGGTAAGTGTTGTCAGAATTTTAATCTCTTAAAGTGTTTTTATTAATAAAAAAGTAGTTAAATTAGTGAATAGGAATGTACTGAGTACTAGCTCCTACGGGCGCCCTCCACAGCTAGCAATGGTGGTGCAGTAGCTTAATTGGAATCGGAGCAATCAGTTGAATCTATTTAATAATGATGAATAAAATGTCTGTAACAATACGTGTTGTTAGCAATACGCAATACTACAGTTAATAAGTCAGGGTCAGTCAAGCCGCAGAGAATAAGATGCCAGGATATCAAGAAGCTGTGAAGCGGAGCAGCCGAGGGATTGCGAAGGAATGCGGGTGGCGAGTGACGAACGACAATGCGACCCAAACCTTCTTCTTTGAGGTTGGTGGGAGAAGAGCTATACGAAAGAAAACGGAGATAGCCGAAAGAACGTGGCGGGAGGGGTGGCTGAGACTGTAGGGGGGGGTACCTGGGGACGGGCAAGCAGGTAGCGGCCGGATGACCGCTCGAAACAGCTGAACTTTACTCGTCGATAAAAGTAAGACAATTTGAGAAAATTGAAAAAACGATCACAGCCTGCAAATCTACAGATCAGAGGCTTTCATTTAAAACAAAAATCATGCAAATTGGTCCGGTGGTTCTCTCAAAGTTAACATCCAAAGATTCGGACCTCCGTTTTAATTCATTGGAGAAAATTTGAGAAAATTATAGGAGAAAATCTGGAAAAATTGGAAAACAAATTACAGCCTGCAAATCTACAGCTCATGGGCTTTCATTTAAAAAAAAGATCAGGCAAATCGGTCCGGTGGTTCTCTCAAAGTTAATGCCCCAAGATTCGGAACTTTGCATTTTAATATATAGGATGACTTGTCATCCTTCAAAATCAATTAGTATAATACAAGGGTATGTTGTGGAGCATTTCCAATCCTCTAAATGTCAATTTGGACTTGAAATGTAATCTAACTAAGTCAGTGTAATCACTTAAGAGCGATGTATTAATTTGTAACAGCTGTGTGACGCCTTGGAAGCCCTAAGTGTGGGAGCCAATTAGATATAAGCAATCTAGACCCAGTAAGCTTCAGCACTCAGTTTATGAATTAGAAATTTAAACAAGTTGAAAAAAAGCCAGGACAATGCATTTGCCGTTTCCAAAATTTTTGAAAATTCTAAATTTACCGCTTTAGGTAACATTGAGCTCACCCGTTCAGCGTTCACCCTTTTTTATTAATTATTGTTAATTTATTTATAAATATTTAATTATAATATAATTCCTTCCCATATCAAAAACCATATTTGATTTGTTTCATCAATCTGAATTGATGATTGAGAAACCTAGCTCTTGATAAGAAAATGTCAATTTCTCCATTTCCAGATGATAGACCTGATGATGACTTCGATTCCGACGTTGAAGAAGTTCTAGGTCAACAAAGGACCAAAACAGCAAGAAAAAGCACTAAAGATGCGATCACTGATATACACCAGCTCATTTCGACAGAACCACTAGAGTATTCGTATTTTCAAAATAGTCTTATTTCGATGTGGAGAGGCCCTGCCCATTGGAAAATAAAGCCTATCTCAAAATGTAAGTATCACCTCACTTCACAGCATCATAAGAAATACTTTAAAATTTAAGTGTCACTGAATTGGAGTACGATTCTAACAAAAATTCGTACACATAATAATTCAGTTCAGCCCACAGATACTTCTTTAGGGTATTGAAGAGGAGGTAAATGATTTTTATGAAACTACAGCAAGATTTTTTTCTTATGCTTTCAAAGGTACGACAGTGGGGAAAACTGCTAATATTTTTCCTGAATCAACAAGAAACTTAAAACAATCTTTGAATCTTTGAGTGAAAAAATTGGTCAAAGTGACTCAGTTTACCATTCTTTTGTTTCTTTTTCTAGTGCAACAAGACATGGAAATGAAGCAAGGTCAGCAAAAAAAGAAAGATAAATTGAAGAGAGGCAAAGCACCCATTGATATTTGTTTCGAAAGTCCGGTGAAAAAGAATTTTAAAGTAGAGTTCAAACAGTCACGACAGACACAACTCACCAAAGTAACTATCATGAAGTGGAGCCGAGGTCGAGTAACCTCATCCCCAGACGCTCACTATAGTCCGACATCTCTTTTCAGGTAAAGACTTACTCCTCTGTTCCTTTAAAAACAAACTACATACACTATACTTTGAATCATCTGAACTTAGACTATCCGAAGTCCAAATTATCCAAACTAACTCTAGGGAGGACTGATTTTTTTTTATTCCTTTTTTACCAGTTTTTCATACATATTTTCTCGTGGTAGGGAAGCAAGCCTATCGTTATGATTCCTTTTTAATTTTCACCTGTTTGCTTTCCCAATACAGTAAGACTTTGATTTATTGGATTTCATGGGACCGGAGGCCGAATCCGTCAAATCGCAATCCGATAATTCGAGGTCTTACTGAATCTACATATATTTCCTTGCTAACACACCTGCTAACCTTTGAACCATGAAATGAAAAAGATGTGAGTGCACCTTGTCATTATTAAGTTTCCTGATCAGTCTGTTCTTGGTTTGCGGAGAGGCAATGACAGCTGGTCATTTCACCACTTAAAGTTTCAAGTGCTTGGCGTTTGCTCAGTGCCGTTTTCTTAAAAGATATTTTATTGGCAGCTGTTGGTCTGTTAACCATTTAGAATTTAAAGTGCTCAACATTTCTCAAGTGTCTATTTTCGTTTTAAATAGGGAAGGCAAAAAAAACAATTAAAAGTGTGTAATGAATGAATGAGGCTGGGTGAAGGAAAATGGAAAAAATTTGTTTTCAAATTTGTGATTACTTTATCATGTTTTACAAATGCAGAGTCTCATATTAAACTTTTCAATAGTTACCTCCGCAATATCCAACCCGGCTGACTGCCATATTAGTTTAGGTAATCTTGAGTATTGTGTATCAACTTCTCCATCAAAGTTACCCTCATGAAAAATGCCCTACCCACTTCAACTATCAGTATTTTGTTGGATTTTTTACGGTTGATTTTTCTTGCAAGATCACAATGAAAAAATTTACCATTTACCTCTCCTATACTTCAGTACCTATGCTTGGTACATTTTAAAAATGCAGGAAGTGAAACTGCTGAACCAAATTCTAGAGAAGCGTCCTTTGTATGATCTCGCAGTTGTTTCAGAATGTTTAGCATTCTGTAAAAATTGAGGCTTTCAGACATTGATTTACCATCTGAAATTTTCTGGAAAGTATAGTGGAACCTCAATTATTCAACAGTAATGGGCGGCGGGGTTGCAGGATAATCCAATGTACTCTTCAATCAATTTCCCAAGCTAAAACACACCTACTATACAAATATTAGCAATAAATAAGAACGCAAACGGTGCAATGGTGTATAATGACTTACTTAATGTTGTTAAGTAAAGAATTGTGTCAAACATGAAACAAACATGATTCTGTACGATTGTGGCAGGAAAGAATATTCTACTTTTCAGTGTGAAAAAGTATGCAACAGACTTTTTGAAAGACCATGCATTGTATTTGATTCATTTCTTTTTCTTTTTCTTTGAATCAGGCTATTTTTAAGACCGTGCTTGTACGTTCGCTCAAAACCTCTGGAGAAAGAAGTTGATTTAGAGGACGAAGTAGAGAACGTTGTCAGACCGTTTGAAGAAGCTAATGAAGAGAAAGCTGCCACTGAAGCTGAACCAGGACTTGATATGACAGGGGTATGTTGCCCAATCACCATGAATCTTGTTGATTTTTTATATTTTTTTTTGTCTCCTTTTTTCTGTTAGTGGTTGTAATCTACGTACATTCTTGCATTATGAATTAGGTACCAATTGTGTCTCATTCTAATACCAAGCAAATCTCAAAATCAATAATCTATTTTTTGCATGATAATGCATACCTGAGGTAGAGGAAGCGAGTTGAGCCCTTACATTTGCTAAAAATTCAACAAACATTTAGGACTTTATTACTTCAATTTGGTGACGAAATGATGAAATTTTGACTTTAACATCTTTACTTGAATTGAATTTAAGTTTTACGATTTAACAAGAAAATAACACTAAAAATGTTGCCGGAACTGTTGGTAACAAGGTGGGAAAATAGTGTTAGCTTCACTCTGTCTTGCGGGGAAAGGAAGGCCTTTAGAAATTTTTGGAATTTTTTGGCCTTGCTTTCCCCGCTAAATAGTTTGGACCCAGCACCATTTTACCACCTTGTTATTTTGCTTTTGCGATCTAATTTACCACGTACTTACTTGATTTATTATTTATCAAAGTGTACTCATTGCTTTGCAAAAAGTGATCTTTTCTGTTTGTTTTAAGCACTTTTTTCCCTTGATAATCTTCAGCGTCGTATCATCCTATAGACGATCAAGGTTTCAATGTTCGTCAGTCGAATTCAGCTTCAATGGTAAAGCTTTGTTATTGTTTTGGAATTAAAGTTGTGTATCCCTCTCAATTCCTCCCTCCAAGATTATTGACTACAATCAGTATGTCAATTGGACAGAGATTGAGATAATCTATATTTTCTTGAACTGCGGTTCCTAGAGATCTATGTCAATATCTTTGTCTTTCATTTTACAGGATCAGGCTGCAGGTGCAGAAATGGAGATGGATGATGATCCTGGAATGGATAACGATGATGCGGGCAGTTTTCACAGCTGTGTAGCAGATGATGCTGATCTCCCCAACACCGATGCTTTAACAACTGAACCAACACCAATGGACGCTTTTGTGGGTGATAATCTAGTCGAGGCACCAAACAAAGTGGCAAAATTGAGCATTCAGTATGCTTTACGGCCAAAAGTAGTGGATATGAAGAAGTTAAAAGGTGCTATTTGGGAGTCAATCTGTCAACAGACTGATATAAACAAGGTGAGTAGACTTACGTTTTCTTTTCTGCTCTTTGCTTCACCAGGAAGCTGTATGTAAATCATAACAAGCAAGTGTTCGCTAGATGATCAGTACAAGAGGTATCCATAAGTTCTCGATATTTTGCTCTCATTGAAGAATTGTAGACGACAGACAAAAATTCTATTTTACCCGGGGATTAGACATACTGTCAGCTTTAATATAAGCCCATTTTTTTTTAAATATAGACAGGGTGCTCAGGAGGTCAATTTTCGCTCACTGCCGCTTGTGTGTTTCCTGCCACGTCCTAATAAGTGTGCTTAAAAATTGTAGTCACAACCCTTTAAAGATTTAGACATTATGGTAAAGGTTTATTGTTAGAAAACTATTAAATACTAGAAAAGTTATTTTTTTAGGTAATTAATAATAATTAATAATTGACCAGGAGTTCTCGAGTCTAAATACTAGCTCATGAATCCTTTTTCAGGAACAGATGATAATTTGAAAGAGCCAAGTCTGGGCCGTAGGAGGATGGTCTAATATCTTTCAACAGTTGAGTTGTCTCAGCAGTAATTATTGAGCAACCATTGTCAGCAGTAACTGAACACTGCATAAAAGCAAACCCAGTTGATGATATTGGATCGTTTGGCGCAGTTTTTTAGAACTTACAAGTTATTATGCCTGTCAAGCTAAAAATCGACTAAAATCATTCCTTTCCTGTCACAATAATCATGGGAAATAATTCACAAGCAAACTTGCTTAAATTTGTGTAGTTTTGTGTTTGAATCAGGTTGATGCTATTCCTGAGACTCTCTTGGAGTGTTAAATAAGTAGTGACAGACTCATGTTTCGTCATTTATAACTATAGTGTCAAAATGTCAAAAAATTATAGCAACATTCATGAGCCTGTTCATGATTATTCTTTGGCGTTTTTGGAATCCACTCCAAGTAAATTTTGTAATTCGAACATTCATGAGTCTAATGCAAAAAAAAGTCCCTTCTGTAAAAAAAATTATTTTTCTTTTTGTTTTTTACAGGAAAACACCCCTAAGAAGTCTAGTTCTGTGGAGAAAATGAAATCCATCAAGTTTAGTGAGATATTAGATCAAATAAAAACTATCCTACCTAAGAAGTTGGCTGAGGATCTGAACTGCTCCCTTTGTTTAGTTGCACTTCTGCATCTAGCCAATGAGAAAAACCTTTGTGTTGAAGGTGTGCCTGACCACTCTGATCTGATGATCTCTCAAGGTTGATTGAAGTCACTCGTTTGGGCAAGGAGTAAGTCTAGTTGATGAATCGTTACTATTGTGTATGTTACATATCTGGTTTGTTCAATTTTTCTCATTAAATTTGTGTCTTTTTTTTCAAATAGTAGAGTTGCAAGCTGATAAATACTGAAACAAGACAATCATTCAACTACATTTGAAGCATTTATCTAGGGAATCTACTTTTATCAGTAATGTTGATGTGAAACATAAAGACTAATCATTGGAATTTTTTGCGTCTTGAAGAGAAAACCTTACTTTCTAGAGCTTACACAGTGATTTCTGTGAGGAAAATAAGCAATCATCAATTTTGAGTCACCGTATTACTTCATCGGCAGCTAATTTTGATTAAAATTTTTAACTTTCTTGACTAAATTATTGTGAACTGTACCACATGTGACATATAATAACAAAATTATCTGAACAATTAGGAATTGTCTTCTAATTGAAGCTGTCTATCTATAGTTATCATTCTCTCTTATGGTTTTCCTTAACTTTAGATTTATGCATCAGCCCATACATGTGGAAAAAAATTTAACAATACACATCAATTAAAGGTTTGAAAAACTCAAGTTTCGATCAGATCTTTTTCAAAATCATAAACCCAGCAGTCAGATTTCTTACTGAAGAGAGATAAAATATTCATTTAAGTATCATCTGTGTACCAGTCATCAGCAAAATTAGATAATCTTATTCTATTTGATTTAGAAACAAATTTGCTGTTTTGTCTGAGGAGTGATGTTGCAATCTGGCACTGCCCATTTGTCTAAATTCCTCAGAATATGCTTGTATGATTGTTGCTTGTAACGGCAAAATATTGCTGTGCAGGTGTGTTACCTATTGATTTTATTGAACAAAATATTAACTGGAAAAAACTTCATTTTATGGGAACTTCTGTGCCTTTAACACTATTATCAACAGAACTTACTGAATTAGTGTCTATGCTAGGATGTTTTTCGTGTTTTTAACATAGTTTATATATTGATAAGTTGCCAAAATAGAAAGGGAGATCAAGTCAAAATTTCCAAGGAGCGAGTTTGCTGAAACTAATTTTACAAACCAAAGAATGGAATAAATGTACTTGTGTGTTTTGTAGACTCTCCGATGGAACCAGTCATTTAGCTCGGTAATTATGAAAGTATGTATCCTTTGCAGGTTAATATCCAAATCAGGCATTTTGACAACTGCAGAGGCAAATAGTTCAATTTCGAAGGAATCTGTCTGAATTTTTCGGTACTTTAAAAGATAATAATCGATAAAAATAATTTGTATTGAATTTGACGTTTCAAAATCTTCCGTCAAACCGCCACTTAATCAGTACTTTATGAAAAATAAAGACATTTTGAGATAGATGTTTACCTAGAACTGAACTTCAAAAAATTATCCTTAAAAGATCGAACATCTCACAGAGAATTATCAACCTCTTATTTTGTTCATTTTCTGTGAAAAAAAAGATAGGAAAACTCTCTGTGAAAAATCTCAGTAATGTAATGTGAAATAGAATAATTGACTGTTTATCAGGCATTTGAAAAAATGCTTGATTTGTCTTTTGGCCAGCAACATATTTAAATCCAAATTTGTCACTCTTTTTTTATCTCCTGCAGCATATAAAAAATGTTCCTTGTGAATTGGCAAAATTTTGTGTAAAAAGTTGATGAATTACAATGTAGAAATTGTTGGCAGCCCAATACAGTAAAAGCTTGTTAAGACGAAAATCCGCTTAAGACGAAATTTTTTTCGGTCCCTTAACACTTCCATAAGAGTCAATGTAAAAAAAGTATGGATAAGACAAAATTTCGAAATTTTGACTCATAACCAAAGCCGGTTAAGACGAAGAAAAATGTCCGTTTTTTCCCCCTGAAATTGGGTGAAAACGACAAAAAAGAGCCAATCCTTAAGGAAAATAGACTTAGTTTTATGTACCTTGACATAAAAAGAGAAGGTTGAGAGTAGATCGTGGGTATCCTCTGTTTTGCTGAATGACTGAGATGCAATCGACAGTTGACGATAAACAGATTTGCATATTTTAAAAAAATTCAAAATTTGGATTTCGTATTGTGTAAAATTTAAAAATGATAGATAGTAATCTTTCAAAAAATCATTCACTTAAAATAATCTTTAATTTTAGTTTGTGTGGATTTTGAAAGCTGTCCGGATATTAAAACTGCTTCCAAATTCCGGATGGCTGAGAGCAGCGCGGATACCAGCGCAACTTTCAAGCGCAGTTGCCGCTTATGCCAAAAAATTTCGTCTTAAGCGGAGAACGGTTAAGACGACAAGCCGCTTATGACGAAATTTTTTTCGGTCCCTTCATTTTTCGTCTTAACGAGCTTTTACTGTACTATGTATGGTGAAAAAATTTTCGATCAGAACTAGGAATTTTTTAATCCTACCATTCCATTCACCAATTAGGACTGTTGCAAATAATGGAACTCTCACTTGCGTAATGGATTTACGATTTAAGTGCCTTCTCTTTTATAAAACTTTGAGAATAACACAGTGATTTTCTTTGAAAGAAATTCACAAGCTGAAAAAAGCTCTCCAAGCTGGGGCTGTAATGGAGGGGACCTCCCACACTCCGCTGAAAGTTCACTTCTATATAAAGTCAAAATCTCCATACACAAATAGGGAGAAAATACATTGACAGGGTTGCTATGGCTCCAAATTTGGAGTCCTCGAAGAATGTGGCAACCCTGCCAATGTTTCTGTTTCCCATTTGTGCATGGCGAGTTTGACTGGATATAGAAGTGAACTCTCAGGGTAGCGCCGGGAATCCCCTCCAGCACAGCCTCAACTTTGAGAGTATTTTGTAGCTTGGGAGTTCATTTCAGAAGAAACCAATGGCACCATGAGGTTTCCCGCAAGTTTCCATAATGGATAGTATCTTAATTGCAAATTTTTGATGCAAGCAAGAGCTCTATTAGACAGGTTCAACAGAATACGCTCAAAAATAAAAAAAAATGAAGTTTTCTTCATCATGAATCATGACATACATTTCCATTTACATAAAATACTTTGTTGAAAGTTGATTCTGTTTTCATGTGCATCAAATACTGTGTTGAAAGTTGATTTTGCCTAATAAATTTATTTTTTATTTTGTATTGTGTGTATAATATTTAAGCCTCTGTAATTTAATACTAAAGCAATTGGCATTCCTTCTTGAAAAATAGTTGTACAAGATTATGGAAGCAAAGAGTTTAAGGCTTATGTAAGTAACAGCCTTACCTATAACAAGTAAATTGGTGTAATGTGCCACCCCGGTGTTTAAGTAGAATTTTTTCTTTTCACTCTTCTTTATTATCTCATAATTTTTAGTTCTCTGGAAGTGTAAGGGTCGTTTAGTGAAGACTGGAACCCTTGTTTGAAAAATTTTTTACATGCTTTATGAATTCGTAACGTAATCTAATCATGCAAAACATATGTATACTGCAGCTGAGTCACACTTCAGTAGTTGTTGCACTATCATGGGACTAGTAGCTTTTTGTTAAATTTCTGATAGGGTCCCAATGTTTATTGAATGAATACCTTTGTATCTGAACTTTCTTGTATCTATATTTCTTCAGTTATTTCTATCTTATTTTTCCTTTTTTTCCTCCCTGTTTATGGATTACTTTTTTTTCTTTTCTTTTTTTGTGTTAAACATGAAAAAAGTCTTTGAGGACCCAATAAGTGAAGTAATGGGTTGAGTTTCGCATATTTCTAAGAAAAAATTTGCTCTCGCGCATCAGTTTCCATTTCTCTGTAGACTTAAGTACTTAAATTCAGTTTAATATCACAATCATGTACCCTAGTTACTTTAATATATTTTAAGCAATATTTGATCCCTCTTGTAACCTTTTTTTTCTCTTACTAAGTTCATCCAGAAAGTAAGGTCTCCCATTAATTGTATCGCTCTAGTTTAAAGTTTATGCTTTTAAATTCAAAAATCTCTGAATTCTCTTGCATAAACGGTTCCCAAAAATATCTATATAGATGATTCCTTACTCCCTGGATGACCCATGTAACCCACTCTTTCATTTTTTCAATATGTACTTCCTATCAACTGACAAACTTTTGTGTTTGGCTGTAACTTTCCTTTCATTTTGTACTTGCTCCTCCGGACTTGTTTATCTTGAGGTGAGATCTCTCATTATGGTGAAAAACATCCCATAATGAATAAGAATTTAGTGATATAATATTTTGTGTAGAAAATATGAAGAGAGCATGTGTGTAAATATTTTGTTGAATCCTAATATGAGGAAATTAAATTTATATTGTTGAACATGATTAGTGCTTGTAAATACTCAACATGTAAACAATTTAAATTATTTTTGATGTGTCTCAAGTTTAGTTAGCTAATATAGGGAAGGGAAGATTAAATTTTGTGCAGTTTGTCAGTCTTTTCTTCTTTCTCTTTGCTCTTCATTGTACAAACTTCAATTAAAGAGGAATAATTTTCAGCCATCTTGTTGTTCTCACTTTTTTCTGTTCTTTTTGTTGTTGGTTCTCCTAAATGATTATGTCGAGATGACAAGAGGTAGCACAGTATCAGTGAAATTAGTTTTTTTATGTTAATTTCTAGAGTTATCATGTGTCAATAATCTTTATGGTCGTTTATTTTGTCTCTCTGCCATTGAGTGTAAACAATCACTGTCCATTAATGCTGTCTAAAAGTCCGTTTTCAAATTCACTTAGACATACTGAAGAAAAATTCTGCAAAGCTTAAAACGTGAATTAATTACTTAAACTCTTAAAATTCACTCCTCCAAAAATACCTCCTGATTGATCAATCTGTTTGATGATCATATAAAAATGACCCTACATTGCTTTGTATACTCCCTTTCTACTTTTTTAAGTTAATGAACTCTATACTCAACCAATTACAATGCATTCAATAATTACTCGGGAACACTGTCACTAAATTGGTTGTGAAAAAAAGTTTGGTTCATGAACCTTGCCAGTTTCTAAACACTCTCAGACTTAATTTGGGATGAGTTTTCCAGAATTGTTCTACACTGGGAATATGTACTCATTCCTAAAAATCTCATGACATGAGCCTTGAAATTTGTTTTTTTTTCTTTTGAAGAATGAGACGTTTGAATGTTGCCTACTTTGGCAACTCTGTACCTCTTCCTAGAAATATATCTTTAGCTCAGCCCAAGGGGATCTTCAAACAATTTTTACCTTTGCCTAAAGATAGAATCTAACATTTCCATAATGTCACTAATTTCTCTGTTATTGAGCATGAAGCATCACATCTTATCTATGACTGTTGCTGTTTCCCCTCAGTTCTATATGTACCTATTTTTCAAGAAATACCATTAAATTTTTAAAAGCGATTTAACATTTGACAAACTTATTAAGAAAAGTATGATCCAATAAATTCTTAATTTTCTCAGTTAGGTGCCGATTTTCAAAAAGGAAGTTTGAATGTTAAAAGTTGAAGGAAACATTAGAGGGTCCTTCCATGAAAAATCATGCATTGCGGAGGATGAGGAAAAGGTTTAGTTGTAGCAGATCTCAATATGCACATCTTGACCTGAGAGTCGATCAACCCCTAATCAAAATTTAACAGTCTTTCAAATTATTTATGTGAGTTATTTTTGGAAGAGAGGATACCAGTAAGTTAAGTCTCACAATGATGGAAAAATCCAAGAATGTAATCAAATCCTCAGAAATATTGTTTTTACCTTACAACTAAAGTGCATTCATATATGCTGCTGAGTCCTTTCGACTTTCTTTTGATGTTTTCATGCGGCCGGTGACAAGAGATTTTTTGTCAAGTGTTTCAGGGAGTCTGTCAGGCGGCCAGGCCGCATGCGTTTGAGCGGGACGCGACGATTCAAAATTCCCGCGGGAGAATAGTTTTGGCGGGAAATTTGGGGAAGTGTTTATTTACGTTTATAGGTTATGTTTTAATCAAATCAAATTCATTTCATAATGTGAATGTAAGTCTAACAACGGTCCATAATTTTTGTCTTTTGCACCGAATGTGATTTATCTAATTCCTGGTTATTATCAATTGCTATTTCGGCTGTTGTATCGCTGGTAAGTGAATGAGTTATTAATTTTAAGAGGAAAATCTCTCGTTCAAACTTTGATCCCTATGGACAAGACTCGTCAGAACTTAACCATGGCAGTTGCAGATTGATATTATTCAAACTACTTCATGTTATCCTCCAAATGAGAATGCAAGTCTTTTATCCTTATTATTAACATTGCTTGATTAGAAATTTTGAATTTCAACATTCAACTTCAACCGAAAGCAGATGCATTGCTGATACCGCAACCATGATCCCTGTGATTGCCAGTCAGCTATTTCAGCACTTTTTTCTCCTTTTGTCCTCAACTGAGACTCTTTAACTCTCTGACTCCAAACGCAACCATTATACATCTGCCCAGGTATACTAAATCCAAAGAAAATATTGAAGGCTCAACCATTTTAATTATTTCATGTTGGATTACAGACTACAACCATTAAGGATGGCTTTCGAAGAAATGAGAGCCCAAGCAAGGAAGATTGATGAAGGAATCAATGCCCTCGAAAAGAAACTTCAGAACCCATCACTGATCGGATACTTGGATGATGATGTGCAGGAGCGGGCAGTTCAAATTCTGGATGAACTTTTACAAGAAATGGATATCATTGATGTAAGATTTACTTTGCATGAAACATCCCTGGTTTCCTAGAATTTTCATCTATCAGTTGTGAGTTTTAAAGCATGGCAAGCAGAATAGAACAGAACCCAGAGCTTGTAAATTTTCTTTTCAAGGAATTATACTTTTGACAAAGAATTGATCACAATTGAACAGAGATTTTCGTCTCATGTGTTTTAATTTGGTGTAAAACTTAAATTCTCATGATCAAGGGAAAAAAAAACTTGTTTGAGCACAATACCAAACCTGCCGAGGCACTCCTCATAGATGGGCCAAAAGTTCTGTTATTGCCGGAGCCCCCCATTCAAACCTTGGTATGGTTTTCACGACCTCTTTGAGTTTGGAGGTAGAAACTCAGGAGAATGCACTGTACTGGCAATGGTACCAATTAGTCATTTTTCCTGTTCAACCATCTGCCTGAATGGTCATAACCTGAATTGCACCAGCAGCGTAGCTCTTATGAGGAAAAATCGTGCTCCTGCAAGGTTTTTCCGGTCATGATAATTTCAGTTTTATATTTAAACTGATAATAAATACATGATGTTAAAATCACCATCTCTCTGTCTGAAGAATGTGTGTTGAAAACTGTTTGTATTTTTAGCAGTAAATAATATGTCTTCACAGATGTGTGGAAATTTGGCAAGTAACTGGAATCTCACCGAATGAGCACCTCAATGAGTTGTAGTTCTGGTAGCTACTAGGTGTTGCAGAAAAAGGAGAATATTGCATATTGTTTGAAACCCCCTTCAAAATTAAGAAAATCAATTTCTCATTTTAATTTTCTTTCTTCTTCAAAAATTGCACTTCTGTGTAGGTCAGGGTGTTGCTTTTATATGTATACTGTCAATTTTTAGTGAGGAAAACAAAAATATTTCATCAGTCATCTGCATTGGAAAGATCCGGTACTAGCAGAACACGTGCGACGTAATAATATAAGTGTATAAATAGTACTAAACATCTAAAGAGAATCGAACTTTTAAATTAAATTTATTCTAGTTATAGTGGCTAGAGGTTGGTAACTACCCGGGCCAAAAGGGAATTTCGTTCCCGGAACACAAACTGAACTGAACTGAAGGGAGAATTAATCACAGTGTAAGCACTTCAGACTCGAAGTCCAACCATTATTCAAATACTCAGCCTGCATATTAGATTTTTGGGCAGGGACGGACTGGCCGGGGTGGCGATGGGGCGATCGCCTCACTTTCATGGGCCGTATTTCGCCGTTTCGAAGAAGTGCCCGAGGGCTTTTTCGGTTCGTCCTCGAGAAAGGACCCCGAGACTCCTGAGAGGACAGGACACTTTATTGCCGATTCGGAGAGCGCCCTGAAGGAGCTTTTTTATGCCGTATCTAAGGGCGTTGCATTTTGAGAGCCCTTTTTTCTGATTCGAATAAGTCCAAAGGGGTCCTTTTTTGTCATTTCAGAAGAGCCCTGAAGGACTCATTTATTGCCGATTCGAAGAAGATTCGATGGAGCCTTTTTTTGCCGCTTCGAAGGACCGTAAAAGAGCCCCTTTATCTGATTCGAAGGAGTCCTTTTTTGCCGTTTCCAAGGGACCATTTATTGCCGATTTGAAGAGGCCTTGATGCGGTTTTATACCGCCTCTAAGGACCGCCAAGGCACTGGGCTCTTTATCGCCGATTCGACAAAAGGGTCCTTTTTGCCGGGGGCCCTTTGGTACTGATTCAGAGAGGCCTCGAGGGCGCATTTCTATGCAATTTTGAACTTTGGAGGCCCCTAGTAGGGAACCTTTCCTACCTTCCTCAAGGGATTTCGTAGGGGCCTTCGGCGATTTTTCCCCCCTTTAGCGAAATCCATAATGGGGGCTGTCCATATAATACGTAACGCAGTTTTTCCGATTTTTTTACCCCCATCCCCCCTCCGTAACGCATCGTAACGCAAGCTCGAACCATCCCCCCCCTCAAAAAAAATAAATAAATAGGTAACACAAGCCTCGCCCCTCCCCCCTATTTTGGTCAGTTTTTTAAATTAACAAGGAAAAAAAAGGTCTTACGGCAAAAAAGAGTTACGTAACGTTGGGCTTGACCCCCCCTCCTCCCCCCTTAAACGGCACTGATTTTTCTATGAGCAGAGCGAAGAAAGGATCCAATAAAACGTTCAAAAAAAATTAAGACAGTTGTCAATTTTGGCGGCTAAAAAGTACATTTAAAAAAAACAAACGAACAAAAAAATCCGAACTGTGTTTTTCAGAATGTGTTCTTTTTAGAATGTCACTATTACTATTCTACTTGATTCTATGTATCTTCTGTATACTAATTTAGCTTTGGCACAATTTTTCGTTGGAAGAGGAAAATAAAAGTTGAATTCTAAGTATACAACGGATTCTCATTTTTTCATCCAGTTTAAGAAAATATACTAAGTTTTGCATTTCTGGTCTCTTTTTGGATAATGTTTCAAAAATAATATTAAAGAATAGGGTCTAAAATAGCGTAAAATTCATTCTAAAAGGGCCTAATTTTCAAAATTTTCCGGGGGAGGGCCCCCGGACCCCCCTTCTACTGGGGGGCCCCCCAGACCCCCCTAGGGGCCCGCCCCATACTTAATTTAGGGCCAGTCCGCCCCTGTTTTTGGGAGACCTGATACTTATTGGTTTAAGTCAGTATTTGTTTCTGTTTTTTACAGAGCGAGGTGTCCAAGTATTCAGCAGATATGACCGAAGACCTTCATGATATTAAAAGCAACTGCGAAAGTCTCGAGAGCTACATTGAAACAATGGAAGAGAACATTGACACGATGACAGAATTTGGAAAACAGTATGGATATGTTCCTCCAGCTCATTTAGTTGAGACTATTGAGTCAGAAGATTCTGATTTGTATCCTTTTAGATTCATTAAAAAGTTCTTTACCATTGAACTACTGAATCCACCTAAAATATTTACGCATTTTAATACCTATTAACCCATTTGCCTCATTTGACGAGTATACTCATTAGCGCGCGCGCGGGACATATCTCAGTTGACGAGTCACTTCGTGGCATTTAGCGGTGTTGCTATGCGATTTTTTCGGCAGTGTTTGTTCACTTTCCCGATAGATGGCATCTCAAGTGTCAGAACGCCAAAAATGGCGCGAATTAACTTGTCAGCTGAGATAATGTCCTAGGCGCCCGCTGACGAGTAAACTCGTCTTGTGAGGCGAATGGGTTGATACCTATGCACAGTGAATCAGGTTTCAGGAATGCGTTCTTAATCCATGAACATTTTGAAGGCTTCTGAGCACCTTCTCCTCTGGATGAGGGTAGAAGATCTTGAACATTAACACTGTCAAAGGCTCATCAAATCACCACCAAAGTGCATGTACGGCAGAATATTGCAATGACATTATTATTATAAGAATCAAATAATGCCAAGATTATTCAGGGTGTCTACTAGTCTGGAATTTCCGGAAGGTACGGAAATAGTACTGATTTTTGGCCAGCCTGTTTTAGTAGACACCCTGCTTTTATTTCTCTGCTGCAAATTATTGAAAATTTTATTAAAAACTAATTGGTATTTAATTCTTTCAGCTACAGTCTTGATGATTAGAGCACTCTAGAAACCTGCGTAGATATTTCTATGCCTATCATCTTAAGGACATAGAGGTATTCAGCTTTTGCATGGCATTATTATTGAAATATCGTTATAGTGTAGCTCGGATCTCAGACAAATCGAGGTGGGTAATCAGGGTATCAAATGCAGGTCTAAATCCCCGGTAAGGATAAAAATGAAGCAACCGCCAAGACAAAGGTAAAAGATCACATGGACGATCTGTACTTAAAAGCTTTCATGACTAGGAGTAAAATGTAAGCCATGCATGGTGCGCATAAATCCCAAGATCGCATTGGGTATTGAAATTCTCGCACAAAACTGAAGAAACTTTCCTTGAACATGCCCTCATTTTTTTATTTTATACTACATCGGACCAACCACGGCTCCATTACTTTATTAAGCATCCAATTGAGGTGATGTCAAACAAGTGAGAAAGTACATAACCAGCTCATAAAGGCAAGGACTTTTCTTCATTATTCTCTCAGTACTTAATATTCATCCTGAAATCCTTTCCTTAACTAAAAATCTTTCCAGGTCACAACTATCACAAAATTATGAAAGTTCAGTTAAGATTGAAGATGAAACTCCAATTTTAATTGATAGTGGCATGTCAAACTCACTGAGATCAGATAATTTATCAGTTGCAACCAATGAGGTGAGTTCTTTAAATTGTTCAAAATCAATTACTGAAACTGAAAAAATTAGTGAACAAAAATGTTTATTCTTTATTTTTTCTTAGGGCTTTCCAGCACATGCGCTGTCAAGCCAATGCACTAGAAGTTTCACTGTGAGAGTTGTGGAATTGCGTGTTCTTTTCAGGTGATGGATCAAAAGCTCAACAGAGCTAGAATGTTAATGTGTTTAAGAGAAAGCTAGATCCCTTAAAAATTTCACTCAACGTTTTCTTTTTTGAATTGGGGTAAACGTCCTTTCTGATTAGCACGGCTCCATGTGCTGCATCTGAATAGCATGAAGGTGTTAATACAGGCATGATGATAATACAGCATCCGCTCAACTCTCACTATTTGGCAAATTTATGTGTTGTAAGCAGCTAAACTTTTGTTGAAAGCTCCACTTAATTCGTATCGAGTATGAGGTAGGTTTTGAATAGTACCATAACTGCTTTTCTACTACAATAGACTGTCAATGAAATGAAAATTCAATACAACGATGTAAAAAAATGATTGAACGTAAACATGTAACAGCAGTTCCTCATCAAATGATCTCAAGAATCTTTATACTCTGAACATTATTCGGGAAAATGAAGAAGCAACAGTGGCCCATAATGTTTTCTGTCAGTTAATTTTTATCCCTTAAAAAAATTGAAATTGAAAGTCAATCACTGTCAAAATCACTTCATTGCCCTGTGGCGACTGACAGTGACTTTTCCCACCACACCATGGAAGTTTTTTACTACCTTATGCTTTCTCTATGAAGCTTCTCTATTCAAGTAAGTGCTATTTTTGCAAGCACAAGGTACATTATTTTTAATATTTCTAATCCATCCAAAACACAAGGTAAAATAATGTCATTTGGCTAGTATAGCATGACCACATTAGATGCAAACCAATAGAATGAAAAATGAAACTAAAACATTTGTGATAGGAAAAGTCTAGATTCAAAAGTTTTTAAATGAATTGTATACATCAGGTCATGCCCGCCCGGAATATGCATGAAAATTTCTAACATCTGAAGAATTTATGTAGGTATTCGTAATTCTATAATTTGCTCATTCTGTATTTTATAAATATAGAATGAGCCTAGATCAGTACAATAACCTGTGTAACATCAACTAATTTTCTGTTGTAGACATGGGAGCAAGGACGCAGGCCTGCAAGTCAAATCATGAATGAAACCTTCACAACACCATGTTCAATGTATAAAGTTCGCCATCTCAACCTACCAGATGTTTCGGAAGTAAAGAACCTGTCATTCAGTAAGCTCTCCCCTGCAATGGCATCATCTAGCCCCAAGTTTCTGAAACCTAAATTCAACCTAGATGAAACAGCATCTACTCTTTCTGATGCAGCATTCACAATCAACAGCTCTGAGTCATCATCTTTCTCTGTCAACCCACGGCGCCTGTCTAGATATCCTGTTGCCACAAATCATCTTCAAACACCTCCGGAACCTGAGCTATCCTCTCTTAGCCGGAGACTCTTACACAAATCGGCCGTCAAAAAAAAATTTTAGTCAATTAATCGGAAAGCCTGTATGTTTTTATTGAGACTGTGATATTTTAGAGCATGAGTGTGCTGAAGATGTTAATGCTTGTTAATGCTTGAATCCAACAGCCAGCAAATTGTTGGAATTTTTTTTTTGTTTGTCGTCTGACAAGACTAGGGTGGATTGAAGTGATAATCGAGAATACTTCGTATAGCCAAAAAAGATTTTTGATAACAACGCAGTTAACTTTTTTCTTCGGGGACACTGCAAAAACCATTCAAGAAATACATGTTAGATCGGTGTTTTTGGGTAACTTGATAAAGGCCTTAAAGGCTGTTCAGTCAATGTAGGGATAAATTTTACCAAAATATGGAAGATCTAAAAAATTGTGGTACAGGTTGTTTATCCACCCAACACTCACAATTGCCCTGAAATTGGAGAAATATCATTCAGTGGTGTGGTACATTATGTGTACAGAACGCACACAAGTCACTGGAAACCTATCAAAATAGCCAGATGGGAGATGCGGACCTTCCCCATACCTTGGCGATTCGGCTTACAGCAAATCTTCGTTCTTCATTAAATTACATATGATAGATCTCTGTAGCCACCATATACTTAAATTTTAGCGTTTCATAGGAATACTTTCCATATGCCTAAGGCTTTGAAAAAAAAAAACGATTTCTTGACTCCTAATAACTTGACCTCAATAGGGTTTTTTGAGCTTGGGAAGATGGTTCAGGACTTAGGGAATTTGAAACGCCAATTGCGGCAAAAGCTACCTGACTAATGGGGTCCTTTTTTCAGTAAAAGCCTCAATTCAAGTCATGTGATCGGTCAGCTTTGTTAATCAGTCGTCCCAGTTGTCAAGCCAATGTCAGGAGGAATTGATGCCAAGCTAAAGGCATTTTAAGCTGCCTGTACCTTTTTGTTGACTCTTAGTGGCAGAAGCTTCACAAAGAGGATGACTGACAAAGCTAACCAATCACTTACCTCTGTTTCATTGTAGTCTTCTCTTGTCTCGAGGTCAACAAGTATGAGATTTCTAAAATTAAGAGTTGTTCATAAAATAGGTGACCCTAAATTTTGGATTTTTCGACCCTCTTCCCCTTTCATGAGGAAGGTCTCTATGCTACAACTTGTAAAAACAAAATGGCGTAATCAGCTCCTACTCCCCAAACGTTATGTATTATGAATGATATTTCAGTCTCTGCTCTAAAAATGTATTAAAGTTTAAAAGAAGGGTTTTTTTATTGCCCTCTAAATGGAAAAAAATTGTGATGTAGCAAGCTACATCAGCACTGAGGAGTTAAGAATCCTCCAAATAGTGAAAATTAAAAACATGAAAGAATTGTTTGAATTTTATAAGGATCCTCTAGAGTTCAGTTGTGTGTTTGAACATTAAACTCATTTTGCCACTGGTTGAATTAATTGCAGAATCAAAAGTTGAAGCAACGGAGAGCAATTTCATCAAGATTTGTATGACACCGTTGATTTGAAATTTTACATTTCTTTCTATCGGTCTATTTTTACCACTATATTTCATGATGGTCTTAGAATGAACAAAGTACACATTGTAGCTTTGATGTGTCAACCTCTAGTGAGGAAGCTTCAGTTTATGCAAAAAAACAAGAAAATTCTGTAAAGTAGTATTAGAGGTTTAATTTCTTCCAGAATTGTTTTTATTGTTGATTTTAGGGTTTCCTTTGACACAAATATTTAACTTATTCAAGCAACCTAGAAGTTTTACAAAAAAATCAATTTATGACTGATGACAAAGCTGCTATAAATTTCTTAGAAATTTTAATGTACAGTGAACTTTGTCAAAGGCGTAAGGCAGGAAAGTGAAGTACTTTTCAATGTTGTGAAGAGCTAATTATCATCCTTTCAATTTTCATGAATGGTGACCGGAGCAGTTGATTACAAACTTCTAGCTAAATGTTCCCAGCAATTTTGATTTATCCTTTTTACAGTTCAAAATTGGAAAACACTAGCATAATTGAAAAGAGCTGGACCCTTGTTGCTCTGAACTCTTCAATTTCGATGTGACAATTTTTTTTTTTTTTTTTTTTTTCCCAAATCGATAATAGCATCAGATGAATAATACTTCTTTCTCTGCCTTGCCTGGTAAAGACAGGATACACATGAGGAAAAATAGTAAATTAAACAATTGAGATTTACAAAGAAATATGATTGAAAATCAGAGAACTTTATTCCTAAGAATTTGATCGTTAACTAACTCTTCCACAAAGTTGAGGCCTTATGTAAAAATATGTGTGTTGTTTGTAAATATATATAGTGAAATTAACAAGAATAAATTATGGAGCAAATAATTTACAGCATTCATGACACAATTTTTATTTCATCATAGTCCACTAATGAAGAACATTAAAATAAGCTTTTCAAGTATACTCTTTGCAATGGCAGAGTTTTTGATCATCCAAACTATTTTAACTAACTGCCAAGTATTGCCTTGCAAACAGCATACATCCATTTCAGAGAATTCTTTGTGCATGCTGAGAAGGACTGCTTCACTGATGAAATACCACTCCAAATCTAAGAATTCCCTATTTAACCTGGGAGACTTCTAATTTCTTCAAGTTGGCTTGCAACGGCCACAATGTATGCACACCAATCTGCAATTAAAAATTAGAAACGCCACAATTTAGTTGATGAGAAATCAAACAGAAAAAAAAAAAAAAATTGAAAGATAGTCTACGACTGTAATACATCTTTGGTGCATTTGAGTCACTTGTGTCTGTGTAAGACACTCATGAAATGCCTCTACTGCCTCTCATGTTTCACATGTGCTAAAGTGACAGGAAAATTTTTGGTGGGCGAATGAAATAACATACTAATAATTTTATTAAAGTTTGAGTGACGACATTTGTTTTGTGTGTCTTATTTGCTTCTATTTATATTTTATCACAATTTTAGGTTTAGTCCAACTTCTAATTCTCAAAATTATAATCTAATTTCGTCCATTTAAATTTTTATAAAGAAGTTTAAACTTATATTTATTTAAATTTACAATAACTATGAAGTTTGCCGTTAAGTATATACTTCAGAACATGTGCAGAAGCTTTTCATGAGTGCACTGACACTATTGACTCAAAATCGCCAAAAAAAAAAAGTCTGTTTGCAAATCCTCATGCATTCAAAGGGTCGACATAAGAAGAAAATAAAGAAAATTATTTGAATTCCTCGACTGTATTATTCTTGAAGTATTCTGGGGGCGGTGGCACCCCACCCCCTCGCCGAATGTACCTTCCGGCCTCAATACTTTGAGAGATGCGGTGGATTAAAAAACTCTCATTTTTTCTTTTTTTTTCCCAAGTTCACCACGAAATTTGGCTAACCAAAATTCGGCGTTCAGATCCTCGTTGATGCGCGATTTGAAGTGTTCGGAACTAGGGTTCAGAGTGGCGAGTGTTGCGGGTTGCGGGAAGATGGGTAAACATACGCACCACGCACGAAAACTATGCACGTCACCGCGAGGGTCCCTCGGGACGTTCTCAATTTTGAAATTAGTTGACCCGCTCTTCGTGAAATGCGTCACAGTGGCGTGGCGTGAATTGCGATATATCGATTGTTATGCCATTTAAACCTACGGAAAAGGATCGATAAACAGGGTGTTTGCAGCGAACACCTTAATAATCGATTCTTTACCGTAGGTTTAAATGGCATAATAATCGATACATCGCAATTTACGCCACGCCACTGGTTCCTGAGCCACTTGTCGATCGTTTATGCCCCCTCACAGCGACGAGTGGTATGGAGTAGACTGCCGTTCTAAGTAAGAACGCCGTATGAGCCTTCAGGCGTTGCAAAATTTCGTTGGATAAAACATGAATTTCCTGGTAAACTTATGAATATTTTCCATCCAATTTTTCAGATAGTTTTGTTCGCAATTTCACCAGAAGTCCCTGAAAATTTCAAGGAAAAATATTCATATCTTTCCTCAAAAATATACATTTTATTGAAGGAAATTTGGCAACTCTCGAATGTTCATACGGCGTTCTTCCTTAGCACGTGGCAGAATATGAATCGATTTCGCGCTAATTAAACAACTTCTCGTTGGCGCCGCGGGGTGTGATAGAGAATACTTTTCATGTGGTGGGTATTTGTTTTCCTCCCTTTTTCACCCTGGTAAAAATTGGCGATAGGAGCTGCGTTTCAAAATACAATAAGAGTTCTTATAGCCGACTGAAGAGGGCGATAGAAAATCATATAGCTGGCTGTAGAAAGTGGAAAAAATCATACGGCCGAGCTACACGAAGCGATAAAAAATTATACAGCCGGGCTATAGTTCCTATCGCTGGGCTTTACACTTTATCGCCTGGCTGTTGCTTTTTCGCCATCGGCTATAAAAGGCTATAAGAAATTGTGTAGAAATTCTTGTGCTTTGTAAATCCTTAAGTTTGTACGAAATCACCTTAATATTTACAAAACGCACATTATATTTTCCTTTACTACATATTTTTTTTCATCAATTAAAATGAGAATAATCCGTACAGAGTGTGCAAACATTTCAAAGACGTGAGTTGAAAAACGCTGACTCCGCGAGGAGCCTAACACAAAGCGGAGCGGCGGCGCACTGGCGCCTACAAACCTAACAGGGATACTTCACGCATTGCGCAATGCGTGAAGTATCCCTGTTAGGTTTGTAGGCGCCAATGCGCGTTCAGCGCTGGCTGCCCGCCCCCCGGCTGCCGCGCCGCAGCGTACCGCGGCACTTGAAGCAACTATTTCACACCAGAAGTATTGCACAGTATCATACGAAATTGAAGGCGCTCCAACATATTAGGAATGGCAGGCATCCTTCAAAAGTACGGAGCTTTCCTCGCAAATTAAATCAAGATACTGCGGCCCAAAAAGAGAGCGGTAGTCCAAAAACTCACTAAGTCCTAGCATCCGTAATTAGTAACGTTTAGCATACACTTTATCGCCAGGCTGTTGCTGAATCGCCATCGGCTATAAAAGGCTATAAGAGATTGTGTTGCCGGCTATAGAAGCTATTGGAAATCTTACAGCCGGCTGTAGGTCTATGGTATTTTGGAACACAGATTCTACTGCCAATTTTCACCAGGGAAGGCATCGGTGAGTCCCTTGTGAAAGCGCTAACACGCATTTTTAAGCCGAAATGAACTCCGGAACTGCAGTTCAGGAACACTGCCTGGAGGGAGCGCAGGTTGATACACGGCGTTCGCATGGTAAAATTATTGCTACGGAGTGTTGTGTGTGTTGCCGATCTACTAATTGAAGGGGCCAATCTTTTTTAAACGCATTGAAATAAAATTCAGATGAGTTGCAATTTTTATTTCACTTTGTAAATTGCCTATATCTCTCGTCTGAAATCGTTTAAAATGTTGACCAAATCGCCAATTATAAGCTTCCTTCTTTCTCCTTGTGTCCGCCCCTTCCTTCTTCCTTTCTTTGCCTTTTCTCCCTCCTTTATTCGGGCAAACGGGTGGGGGGGGGAGGAGAGGCGTATGCCCCCTACGCTCCCCCCTTGGATCTGCCTATGGGCAGAATAAGGCCGGGTTTATGATTTTTGGGCCCATACGCGCCCTACTTGTGGCGCGGGCTCTAGCATCACTTCGGAAAAGGGAGTTCAGTTCAGCATCAGTTATAGAGGATAGAAGATTCATCAGTAAGATAGACAATTAACAAGACGAAAACAAATCGCAACTTATTTCAAATTTCTGGCAATAAGTATCTTGAACATAGTCCCTTTCCGTTAGGAGATAGGCAACATGCACAACTTTCCGACTCCGCACTTAACTGACGATCCATGCCACTGGGGGAGTTTTCCCGGTTGCTCTAAATGTTGCGTCGGGTCCTCAGAAATACCTACAGTTTTTATCGGTGGCAAAATTAAAGAAGTACGTAAATAAGACCTTTCGAAATCTCCCATGTATGTTCAATTTGTTCGTAGGAAAACTTTGATAAATTATCCTTGACATTTCCAGTGAATTTTGAAACGGCAAAAAAACATTTACAGAAAACTCAAGAAAACACTTGATTTGTTTTCTATTACAAAAAATAAAGACGAACTGAGATTTTAAAACATCGTGATCGGAGCCGCATATCTTTTAACTCTAGCGCCTTCGACACGCAGACATGCGAAGTCTTTTGCAGTCAGCAGTCTGAGATGAGACTTTTCAAGAAAAATAAGAATTTGAAATTTCAAGGATGAAATTTAACGTGGAATTCAATGAAATTTTCCTGTGAAATTTTTATGAAACTTTCCTGTGAAATTCTATGAAATTTTCCGGTGAAAGTTTAATAATTTGAAATTACAGGCTATTTTTCGTGCAATATCAACGACTTTTTGAAATTTAACGTGGAATTTCAAGTGAAAAATTATGTGAAATTTCAAGGGCGACATCAGACAGCACCACACGTATGCGTTGAGCTTGAAGCAGATCGAGGATCCCCTCGCCTCTAAACGAATCGTCTGGAAATCGTTTTTTTTTCCGGAGAGATCTGGCGACTGCAAAGAATGATGACCGCTTGGAGATGGAGGACCTGAGCAGCTGAGCAGCTGAGGTGAGAAAACTCGTTTGGCGAGATTTCAACTCGGAAGTTGCTTCAAAATTTGAAGAACCTACACAAGTGCAGATCGCCGACCATACGACCCGTATTGAGCACAATTTTCCGATCGCGATGGTCAACTCGAAAACTCTGCACGACTTGGTTTAGATCATTACACATAGTCTGACATTTTGTTTTAATGAGGGAAATCTCGTGGAATTTCTCATACTTTCTCTTTACCCAAGTGGCAATGATCGAGATAAAAAGCGATTTTATCGGTTGGTTATCGCGATTCTATCGGTGGCAATAAATCGAGATATTATCGCATTAAGAATTGCGATTTATGGCATATTTATATAAAATCGCTACACATCGCGATTTTTAGTTCGATAAAATCGCAATCGATTTTCGACGATAAAATCGAGATTAAATCGCTATCAATCGCGATTTTTATTTCGAAAATATCGCGATAAATTGCCTGGCGATAAAATCGCGATTTTTATTCCGATAAGATCGAGGATAATCGCTCAGATGATGATGATTCCGGCGATGTTTTCGCCGATAAAATTGCAATACATCCCGATTTTTCCATTTGAAAATTCTATACTTGGGTACCAGTCTTAAAATACTCTCTAACAACTGTATTTATAAATAGAAATATCTGTTAGGTAACTGCTTTCATTCTACAAAAGTAAATGCGGAAAGTTCGAAACATCCTAAACTGGGCTGAAGGGCCTGCGGTGTCATCAACGCTACGTCAAAGTTCCTGATGCTCTTCAGCGAGAACGCCGTAAGTCCATCAAGATTTTCCCTCGAATTCTTGGACTTAACACTTTATAAAATAAAAACTGTTTTACCCATGCACCTCAACTGTTCAGGTTAAATTCTTGATAGTATTAACGAAAGAAATGTGTAAAAACATTGTCCCAAGGTACACAAATCTTTCTGCTGCGATGCATTTTTTCCAAAAATTTAAAATGGCGTTTATGGCGTTTTTGCGTTGCTCGGCAGAATTTGCCATATTGAGGCTCTATTCTTGCCAATTGAGAGAAAAAATACGTTAATTTACTACCTGACCGCGGCATTGGGACGATAACGGAGCCGTGAAAGTGATCGGTGAATCACCTCCCCCCCTCCTCCCTCACCCCCCGACCGCCGGACGGAGGGGGTGGCGGGGGTGGGCGAGATTTGGCACTGGGAATCGCGAGCGAGATCGCGGGGAAAAGTCAAGGGCCGCGAATCCGACGATCGGGTATGACGAGCACGTGATTGTCCCCTTCCAGCCGCTCGAGGGGTGGAGGAGGGGGGCGCACGAGCGAGTTCGCTGATTCTGCCTCCGCATCGCACAGTGGTCCACGCTAAGAGCTCGTCTTCAAAAGAAAGACGAAAACGAAAGCCCCTCATTAAGATCGGTGAGAGTTGAGGAGGCCTGGCCACGATTGGACAATTTTCTCACTCAAGCAATTTTCCGAGATTTTCAGGAGTTTTTTACCTTTGGATAGTCGCCCCTCCTTCATGAGAAAGTTTTCACCGTGAACCCCGTTTCCATGAAAAATTTCTAACCATGCTACCGACTGAAATCGAGATCGAACCCAGGAAAAGAGGTTTGGAGGTCTCCTCCATACTGCCGTGCCAAGGAAAAACGCCGTATGATCTTTCAGGCGTTGCCAAATATCTTTCAATAAAACACGAATTTCTTGGTGTACTAATGAATGTTTTACTTCAGATTTTTCCGAGACTTCTGTTCGTATTGTGTTCTGAAGTTCCTGAAAATTTCAAAGAAAAATAATCATAATTTTCCTCCAAAATGAACATTTTATCAAAGGACATTTGGCAACTCTCAAATGTTCATACGGCGTTCTTCTTTAGCACGGCAGCATAAGAGTCGTTTGAGAAAGGGTATGACGCCTTTTTTCACACTCAACACATTTCTGTCGACTTTGGATTCCTGGCAAGAGAAAATCACGATATTTTCAGACAATTGCGGAGAAAAATACCCCTGACTTTCTCAGGTTTCCCGATTGCTTCAGCTGATTGCCCCTGTATCAATTCTAGGTTTCCCAGATTGCTGGAGGCCCTAAGAAGTAAGGATAGTTGAACCACGCCTCATTCCATTCTTCAACGAAAGGTGGCTCGGAGGTTGGCTTTCTGGACCCTTTGGAAGGACACGCACACGCACACAGATCGATTTTAGGGGATGCGACTATTCGAACTTGGGGGAACTGTTTTTGCCTATTCGCTCAATTGAAGGAGAACTACGCTCGGTATCACAGAGCGCGCAATCTGATAATTTTCTATTCAGCAGCAGCACGGCACGAGGTTCGCCTTCATTTGAACTACTAGAAAAAATCAAATCCTCTGTGCTGAAATAGTCGCATCTCTCGAGACATGTTCCGTCTGTGTGTTCTACGTTTTCACAAGACATTAAATCTGCGTCTCACACGATACTCTTGTTGGATATGTCGCAGGCAATTGACAATCACCGGCAATTTGCAAGCGGTTCAGGTACCTATTGTTAAGATGAAGCGCAATAATGCACACAGGCAATGAGGGTTTGATGGGTCGGTACTGGCCATCAAAATCATGGTCACGGTTTAGAGCGCCTTCATTTTCCGTGATACTCTACGCTTCGTTGCGGAGTTAGTTTAGTTGCTTGTCCGATCTGAACCCACCTAAGGTCGCGGTTCCCACTACACGCTCACCTGAGAGTGTCTCTCACTTTCATTTTTTACGGAAGAAAACGTGTCTGTTCTTATTGAAGGATACATAGCAGTACTCAAATCTTTTTCTTTGATTTCCAAATTTTATGCTTTTCTATTCATTCACTAGTGGCTTGCAAATTGCCGGCCAATGCTAATTGTCTGCGACAGATGCATTTTAAAATTCGATGGTTACAGTCGAAATACGCGTAACTCGATTTGCGACGCTCTAGATTTGAACCGAGTTCATCAGAAAGAAATCATCTCGCATTAAGTTGAAATTGAGGAAAAGAGGTTTAAAGTTGTATTCGCATACATAAGGATCAATGCGGAAAATAAGTTTCGCTCTTTACACAAACTAATTTCTTTCTTTCGAATTTCAGATTTTGGCAGGAGAAAGTTAACGACTAGCGGAACTCTAAAACATTCTTAACTCAATTTCTTCGAAAATGTGGGTTGGTTCCTTTCTGATAAACTCGGTCCATTCTTCACGCCTTTCATTTGTTCGACAGAAGCCCTTAAGATTTCGAGTGAGGACCGACGGTCGGTGAATTTTGGCCGAATACAATAAAAAAACAATTTAAAAAGCGGGTAACAAGGCTAAAATTTCACGAATAAAACCAAAACTTTTCGGCTGAAAACTCAGCTTTCTTCAGAACGACAAATAAAAAAAAAATGGTAAAAATCTAAAATAGTACTTGGCTGTACCTTTCGAAGCGAGAATGTTGTTATGACAGGTCAACGACGTACACTATGGGCCTGTTGCAAACTTTTGCTAGAGCAAAAATAAGAGTTGTTTCTTATAGATAATGCCTCAAAAATCACGATGAGCGCATCGGCAAAGTCTGAAATGCACTCATAACTTCACAATCTGCGTAAGAAATTTGCGTTTTTTTAAGCTTCCCGCTTCAAAAACGATACTACGGCATAGGTGAACATTTTGTTAGAGGAGTCGCTCCATCGTCGGCGATATTCATCATGGCCGACGCTTGCACGCAGTTCCGCGCGGAGTTCAAGGTCAATCAATTCGGGCGTGGAAAATATGAACGTTAACACACCGATTGTTATCTGGTCTAATCCAGTTCAGGTGTTATCTCGTCCCATCAAACGTGTTTTGGCGGATTGGCGTCGGCTATGATGATTATTGCCGACGATGGAACGACTCCTCTTACAAAATGTTCACCTGTGCCGTAGTATCGCTTTTGAAGCGGGAAGCTCAAAAAACCGCAAATTTCTTACGCAGTTTGTGCAGTTATGAGTGCATTTCAGAGTTTGCCGATGCGCTCATCGTGATTTTTGAGGCATTATCTATAAGAAACAACTCTTAGTTTTCCTCTAGCAAAAGTTTGCAACAGGCCCATTGTTATGACGAGGTACAATGTTGTATGTTAAGTCATAACAACATTTTCGCTTTGAAAGGTACTCGGCTCGGTACTATTTTAAATTTTTACCATTTTTCTTTTTATTTATCCAACTGAGGAAGGCTGAGTTTTCAGCCGAAAGGTTTTGATTTTATTCGTGAAATTTTAGCCTTGTTACCCGCTTTATACATTTTTTTTTTAAACTGTGTATCTTGTCACGGACTGCGGAGCGTCTATCATATCTCATTTTAGCCGAATGAAGATAGTTGGAGCCGGATGTGCGGCGGGTATCCCGATTGGGATGGAAGCGAAGCGTTGGCGGTGGCCGCTGGTCTGCTGGTCAGTTGGTGGTAGGTTCGTCCGGCCCTCGGCTCACAGCGGCCCACATATTCACTCCGGCCGTCTTCCGCTCTTCCGCGACGCGACGCAAAGCTCGAAATATTCGTCTCTTTACCGCGCTACAAACGCCTTCAGGTGAGTTCCTTCCTCTTTTTCATCATCTCTTCCTCGAAACGCGTCCGTCAAGTTCCCTTCTTAGTTTTTTTTTTTTCAAATTCCGAGTTTGGGGCTTTGAAGTTCATGTACAGAGAATTTGACGAAAGGTTCAAGTAAGTTTGTATTCGATAAAAGGTTCAAGTACGCTGCAGAATACTGCCATGCTAGGTAAAAACGACGTATGAGCATTCAAATATTGCCGAATGTCCTTTCAGAAAAGACTAATTTTTGAAGGAAGGTTTGGATATTTTTCCTTAAAATTTTCAAATTTTTTACACTGGAAAAAAAAACACATTGGATCTAGAGTCCAGACTCTTAAAAACATCGACAAGAAAAAGTACTCTTGATTCAATCAGAATCTAGCTTAAACCAAGAACCAAGCCTCTTAATTTAAGCGGATTTCGTTTTGATTCAAGCAAAAATCCGATTGAATCAAGAGTTTTCTTTCTTGTCAACGTTTTCAAGAGTCTTGACTCTAGATCCAATGTGTTTTTTTTTTCCAGTGTAGATCGAAATCTTCTAAAAAATCGGAGGAGAAATATTCACAAATTTTTCTGAAAATTCGGGATTTGTCAAAGTAAATTTAGCAACGCCTGATGGCTTATACGTCGTTCTTCAGAATAGCCTTGATTTTTCAATTCGATAAACTTTATTTTTCGTCCCTTTTGGTCTCTTTGCGATGACGAGTTTCTTCCTCATTCAAGAATGAGGAAGAAACTCCTCCTCATCCGCGAACCGCGTTCCGGCGTGATTAAGACGTTAGGTTCAGGTTAGCCTGACAGTGAATCCTTAATTTTCTGATTTGACAAAGTTTAAAGTATATATTCTGTTTATTGCTGAAGCTGAATAATTGGTGCCGGGAGATACGGATCCAGACTATGTTTTGACGGGGAGGGAAATTTTGGTTCCAGCCGAAATTTTTCGAGCGAAGCACTCGGAGAATCGAAATCTTGGAAATTTCCGTCATTAAATCACCTGCCTTAATGTGTCATTGTTCTTAACGATATTATTTTCACGTTCGACAAGAAATAAGCAGCAAATCAACTCATGAACCTTCCACCGATGAGTGAATTTGACGAGAATGACAAGCGAGCTTCTGCTCATCTAGGAGAAGCGATATTCTGCCTTACTTTGTGATTATTACATCAAAACCCTGGTAATTTTTTGTACTGCAAAGAAAATTTCATGATCCACAAATACAATCACTGAGGTGAAAGTTACCTAAGTTAGCTTCGTGTTTCTCAGAGGCATTGAGACAATAAGAAGGGTTCAAAATAATTAAAAAATAATCCATATTTGAATCACAAATGATAGATACAAGAATATTTTTGTGGGATTGCAAAATTTTAATAACTAGTATAATAGAATTAAGGGATATTTTTATTGAGATTGCGTAATTATTGTGAATTTCAATTGGATCTGTGCGAAAACTGGAATAAAGAAGTAGGATTTGTAACTGTTCAGAAGAAATTTTGAACATTTGAGTAAATTTTCACTGAGTGTAGAGTTGAGACTCGAGTAATATCTATAGCTTAGAGAAATGAAATTGAGACATTCGATATCTAAACAAAAAATGAAAACATCAGACATAAAGTTATTTTCGAAGCAGTTTTTTTTTTTTGAATGGGGAAATAAAAACTGCAAACGCGAGTGGTGTAAGAGAGAAAAGGAGAGGAAGCATAGATGAGCAGGGAGAGAAGAGGAAAAGAAAAACCGCGAGGGATACAGAAAACTCAGAATATTAAAAATAATAAAAATATTTCTCGAGGATCTTTTTGCTCCACATTTCCAAGTGCTTTGTCACGGAATGAGCGAGGAAATGTTAATTGCAAAGGCTAGTTGGAGATTTTTATTTATGACAGAAAGTATATCATAGAGACTGAAAGACAAGGAAGCGCGATCGATCATTCTTGATTGCTACTCGTGTTGCAACGATTATAAACTTTACATCATATTGTCCAGTTCTGATTGCGACGCTTATACAGCACTCGCGAAGATCGCAAAGTTCGATATCGCTTTTTCCTCGACCTTATCAAAATCGTATTCTATGCTATACCCACTTAGTCCCAAAGAAAGCACGTGACGATAATTATTAGAAATTTACGCGCACCTAGGAAGTACTTATGTTACTTTGCACCGAATAGGTAAGAATCCCCATCCCATAAGCAATCGTCCAAGAGACTAAACTTTCGTATTAGTAAGTTGAAAGTAAGTTGTGATGCTTCCATGAACACTATATTTTCAGGCTTGCCACAGTCAGGGAATACCGGGAAAACCAGGAACTGTCGGAGGGTTTTAAAAAGTCAGGGGAAACCTAGAAATGTCAGGGATTTGTTAAATCTTCTTCTTCTGTTGCTTTCTAGAATAGTTTTGAGGTTTCGAACATCAAATTTTGCCTGGAAACTATTTTCGATTATGTCTTCTTAACCATCCGTCGTATCTTCAATTGTCAGGGAATTTCATTAAAATATGCCAGGGAAATGTCAGGGAATTTCATTTTCCAAATTCTGTAGCAACCCTGTATTATTCACTTTTTGGAAAGCAGATACGTCGTTGGCTGGTCGCGGGCAAGTGCAGCAGCGTTAAAAGTGCGTTTAAAGTGATCCTTCATTTTAAAGGTTATGCAATCAAAGCTGCAGATAAATTCATAACAATACCTTTTTGCTAAGGCTTTAGATAGATCGAGGAATCGTGGCTTTGGTCTTCCTGTTGGGTTATCACAGATTGACCAAATATTAAAATAGTTGCAGAATTCATGACAGAAAATCCTGCATTAAGTATCCAAAAATTGTGAATGAGAATGGAAATTGTAAATGGGAATGGGAGGCAAACTCCTTCGAAAGATAAAAAAAATTAAAACTTAATTTTAAATAAATTAAATTAATAAATCATTAAACGACTTGATTAAAAACTAAGGATACGTAACAATTAACATCTTGCAGATATTGCATCAGGGGTCATTTAATTTTTTTTGAAAATTTTAGATCTCGGCCTAAAAAAAAAAAAAAAAAAAAAAAAAAAAAAAAAAAAAAAAAAACGCGAGCGGGCAATGAGGAAACCTTACAAAAAATGCTTTGAGTATGTAGTACCACCGAGGAGATGATGGAGACACCGACATTTTTTATTTAATTATATTTGCCTCGAATCAGCTCTGAAATTGAAGCATGATGGTGAAGTTTTGTGCTTAACAATGAAATTCTGTTTAAATTTCCGGAGTGAACAAGTAATAGCAGAGCAAAATAATTACACTTGACGTCTTGACTAGACCGGATTCATTCATGCTTCGGTGATTTGCTCGGTTGCCGCGCTAAATCTATTCCCAAATACTATCGTGCTGAGGTAAAACATCGTATGAACATTCGAGCGTTGCCAAATTTCCTATAATTTAATACGGATTTTCTGGAGAACTTTTAAAAAAATTTTGTTAATTTCTTAGAGATTTTTCTGCGCGACTTTAAAACCTAGATAATTTAGAAAATTTAAAGGAAGAATGTTCATTGATTTCCTTGATAATAAAAATTCTATCAGAGGAAAATTGGCACCGTTTGAATGTTCATACGGCGTTATTTTTTGACACAGATGAATATAGAATTAACTCTTACGGAAGAGTCGTCACATTCTTTGCCGCGTATTGTACCTGGCAGAATGCTAATTTTTTTTCACTTCTTGATAATTCGCTGAGTTTTTCCGATTTCAATGAGTATTCAATTCTCTGGTGAAAATTTAGAACATCCCCTCATTGTCCACTAGATTCTCAAAAAATTTTAAATTTCAAAAGATTTTCCAACGGAAAAGAATTTTGAAAAAGATTTTCCAGACACAAAATTTTCCTCCAAATTTTGGGGCCCGGGCATTAACAGTTTCATATTTCGTACCTTCCCTCGGAAACGTTAACGCAACGGATCTAACCGGGCTTCTCCCGGTGGTGATTTTACAAGTTGGCAACAGTGTCTTTACTCAATTTAAATCCATTGAAAAAATTGATTTCTAGTGAGGCAAGCTGCCTCACCAAGAATCGATTGTTTAACATACATTTAAATGAAGGAAAGGCAGTATTGCCAACTTTCGAAGATTGACACTGACTTTCTTTCTACAGAAGACTTCCCTTCCATCGCAAAACCACCCAATCTTTACTCTGCGTACCTTCTGAGGTGATCCTCTAAGCAACGTTGAAGTTTATGAGGAATCTCGGCATTCTCTCTTGTTCATTATGCTCGAATCTTAACTGGTCAAATGGGAATTCCCAGATGACACACCATCCCGCATATTCCCAGATGACACTCCATCCCGCATATTCCCAAATTAAGATTGAATTATAAGAGTGGGAACATGATGAATGAAGCCCCATAATCTGAGCATTCCCAACATACTATAGTAACCAAGATCCGGAGGGAAAATGATAAAGAAGACCTACATAGAGGCAAAAAGTGTAAAAAACGTGATTAAAAGTTTAACAGTGATCAACTTAAATTGAATGTCTAATGACTTATACAACTGCCGATCTCAGTGGCAACGGTTTAGTTTCCTTCTTAATTGCACTCTAATTTTTTTAGAGGATATCGCGGTTATAATTGAAAAAAAAAAGGATTACGATTCGATCGCTTGCATTCTTACATACGCTTCAATGCAAAGTACTGCTTCATCGAAAAATATCAAACGTATACAAAGTATTCTTTAAAAGTCAGAGGTAGAACTGCGACCACGTTTATTCGTAGTTACAGTGCGCTATGGCCCTGGTGAGAAACTGGCGCAGAATATTAATATAAAAGCAGCGGGCTTTGAAACGGTCCTAGAGGCCGTTTATTGGGCGTTGGTGTGCATATCAAAACTTCAAAACCTTAAAATTAAGTAAAAAATGGTGTTTAGATTTTTGATTGATTTCGTTATATACCAATAGTAAATGGTGGTTTAAAATTCATCTCTTGGTTCTGAAACATAACTTTTCACACAATCGTGCCTACATGACAGACTCGGTAACT